TTATAAATGTATTTTTTAATTGTTATGAAATTAGGTGAAAATGATTTGTACACCTTTACAGAAATGCATTTTAATGTGGGTCATGACCTAAAAATGATCCACATGTCTGTTTTGATACGATCATGGTCAGAAGGAAAAACCATTGACAGATGGAAATAAAAAAATGTAGCTGACCATGTAATCATACATAGTTAGAACTGCAAAATATTTAGGCTTGTCAATTTTTGAAAGAGATGGCAAAGCACTTTGAATGCTTTCCATCTGTTGTTGCCATCCAAAGCTTTGCTTTTCTTTTTTAAGAAAGACTGTGGGGAAAAAAAGTGACAACAAAGGCATTTGTAATGTGACAAAAGATTTATATTTCAAATAAATTCTGTTTTTCTGAACTTTCTATTCATTAAAGAATCCTAAATAAGGTATTACCGTTTCCAGATAAATATTAAGCAATCTGTTTTCAACATTAATAATAATAATAATAAATGTTTCTTGACCAAATCAGCATATTAGAATGATTTCTGAAGGATCATGTAACACTGAAGATGAAAAAAACTTCTGCTTTGCCATCATAGGAATACATTACATAAAAAAATATATTAAAGTAGAAAACAATTATTTTAAATTGTAGTAATATTTCACTGCATTACTGTTTTACTGTATTTTTGAACAAATAAATGCAGCCTTAGTGAGCATAAGAGATTTCTTGAAAAAACATAAATCTTACTGACCCAAAATTTTGAACGATGGTATAATCTATTCTAGATTAAAGTAGTCTGTAGTCTTGACTACTTGAATTCAAAATATCTTCATTTACTGTTCCTGAAACTGTTTATTCTAATAGACTCTTTGAATATTTTTACATTTAAATGTGACTTGATTATGAACAAGAAAAATCCACTATTTTTATACTCCTTCATTATGCTGTAGGCTACAAGCCGCCTGTGTTAGAGGACTGGCCAAAGAGACTCCACCAACCCCCAGTCAGTGTTCGTATGAGGAAGAGGAGAGCGTTTGCAGATAAAGAGCTGGAGACTGTGATGCTGGAAAGAGAGCTGAGGCAAAGAGAAATGGAAGAGTTGCCTGCGCTCCTCCTCCAGGCTGTGGTGCCGTCCGCTCCCTCTCCGTATTTTTTCCCGCTGTCAGACCCAATCATGCCCACGTACATGCCTGTGTCCAAAAGCGACTGTGATCTCCCTCACCATCAACACTCGCTTAAATCCAAGACTCTAGACTGCGGCCCAAACACACTGACAGACAGCGTCTCTCTAAGAGTGTGTGAGAACTGGGACATTTTCAATGTGATTCGGCCTCCACCGCGCTGTTACAGCGCAAGCCCAGGTGTCAACATGGTTAAAAACATACCGGACAGCGGGTTTTCTGATATGTCTGTCAAACCAAAAAGTTTAGTTGTCGACACCATGTCAAAGCAAGGCATTCCTCCCTCACCGTATATGGCAGACGTGCTGGTACAAGCTAAATCGCCCCACAAACGCTGCAGGTCATTGGGACACGAGGCCTCTGTTCACATGGACTGTACGGAGGGTGCAAATAAAGACCCCATCAAAAAAGCTGTAACACGGCCATTACCTTTTTCTGTAGAGGCATTGCTCATGAGATAAGAATATTTTTTTTTAAAGCTAACACTTTACAATAGGGTTCAGTTTGTTAGCATAATGTATTACATTAATTTACATTACATTAGCGGCCAATTAAATTTTTTACACTGTTTATTAATGTTGTTTAATGTTAATATCTACATACACTAATACATTTTTAACAAGTTAGATATTAACATTACCTACTGTATTATGAATGAACGTTAAGAATTAACAATGAACAACAGCATATTTATAAAGTAACATGAATATAGATTAAGAAATGCTGTTAAAAAGCTAATTGTTAGTTCATGATATCTGATGTATTAAGTGATGTTAACGATAACAAATGAAACTTTTTGGTAAAGTGTGACCGTTTCAATTTATATTTGACTATAATTGATCTAGATTTACAGTAGCATTTAAGCAGCTGAGCTTTTAAAAAAATAAATAATGTAATTTTCAAGCAAGTCAAGCAAGCAGAGGATATATTCAAACACTTTCTTAAATTGCACACTCTTTCTCAAGTAGTGCTGAGAAATACAGTTTATTTTAGAATTGAATGTGTTCACTTGTGCCATTCATGTAAATGAACCTGTTCATAAACAGTTAGCCAGTTCATTTGTCCTTGTGCACAAGTGTTTGTGTTCATCATTACATTTCCTATTCAGTTTTATAAATACAATGTTTATAGTTTTATTACTTTCAATTAGTGTCAATTTTTATGCAAAGCTGAGTTTTTAGGTTTAAGGAATCAAAAGATTCAAGTTGTTGGGATAAATCAAAAAGTGTAACCCGTTAACTACTTAAAATGGACTAGCTTGCTTGGCAAGTGAGTTTTTAATGAAGCTTCCCCAACACTGCACTGAAAAGTTAAATAGTCAATAACTTTCTTGTTTAATAAAATACTCTTGATTAGAGCACTTTTGATTCATTTCTAACTAAAGTTGTTCAAATAATTTTTTTATAATCTTGTTTAAATCGGTTATATGAAATTGTTAAATACACAGTATAGAATATATATGCATCTTACTAACCTTTATACTTTATTCCTTCTTTTTCCAGTTCTGTTTCACAATATTTGTTTTCTGTTCAAAAAACATTGTGATGTTTCTTTCTTGTACATGTAAATAGCCATGACTAACCCTATTTTTTTTTAAATTATTCATATTTTTAAATTCCAAATAAGAAAGTCTGATGTAAACGCATAGGTAGCTGAGGATCAAATGAAAGAGTGGTGGAAAAAAGATTAGTTTCTCTCTCTCTTCCTTTAATGTGAATTAATGATGTAGTTCATACGGTGGTTGGATTGAAGTGATGCCTGGTACATCTGTGTATTTAAGCTACAGGCTCCCACAAAGGTACTTTGAACTGTTTCTGCGGTGTTCATAAAATATTTTCAATTTTAAAGAAAACTAACGATGAAAAGGGCTCTCAGGCAGGAACCAACTCAAAGTGTAAAACTAAACGAGTGAGGAGAAAGACACTTGTGCCTGAGGGTTCAGAGGCAAGAAATTATTCTAATATGAGCTCAGGAGGACAAATTATTCAATATGTTTTTCTGCGTTTTCTTTTTACATCTTAATCAGGAAGTTCATAAAAGCCTTATTCTTGTCAGTACTGTGTGTTCAAGTGAATGTGTTGGCTTAGCAACATTGTGCAATATATTTGGGAGTGTATCGCTATCCTGTAGACTGGTTTAGACAATGTATATCCTCTCTTTTCTATCCTTTCTTTATTTTCCATTTCAGTTTTTGAGATATGGAAGCCTGATAGTTTTGACATCTCTGGACCGTGTGGCGTCAACATGTGTGATGGCATCATGCCCTCCTCTGTGTCTGTCTCTATATCTCAGCACATCTGCCAGTGCAGATAGGGGCTTTACATTAGGAGCCTTCCTGAGGTGGGAATCTCAGCCCTCTTGTGGTCCACTTAAAAAAAAAAAACATGGCAAGAAGAGTGCAGAAGAACATTAGTGTTTTTAAATGATAATCATGATCTATATCAAAATCCTCAGTTGTTATTGCTTTGAAAGAAGTCTCTTATGCTCAGCAATGCTGCATTTATTTGACAAAAAATGTCCTAAAACAGTAATATTGTGTTTTTTTTTAAAATACAATTTAAGAACTGTTTTCTATTTTAATATATTTTAAAAATAATTTATTCCTGTGATGCCAAAGCTGAATTTTCAGCAGACATTATGTCAGTCTTCAGTGTCACTCACGTAATCCTTTAGAAATTGTTCTAATATGCTGATTTGGTGCTTATTATTATCAATATTAATATTTTTGTGAAAACTGATAATTTGTTTCAGGATTCTTTGTTGAATAGAAAGCATATATTTAAAATAGAATCTTTTGTAAGATTATAAATATTTTCAATTATAATGCATCTTCAATTATAATGCATATAAATTCAATTGAATGCATCCTTGCTGGATAAAATCGTTTAATTTATTTATTTTAAAAAATTCTTACTAACCCCAATATTTGAACGGTTTTGTATATTTTAAGTAGGTATAGGAGGCACAAGTAGGTATAGGAACTAGGATACAGCATTTGTCTGAATAAGAATGTAATTTAATTTGAATAACAAATAACTAAATATAGAAGAGTGCAGATTTTAATATGTATTATAATGTAACACTACATGAAGTATACATGCATTCCACTCTCATCATGAAATAAACAACAATGTCTATGCCCAAATCTGGGGTGTACGCACACACACACAAACACAGAAATACACCTCAGATACATTAACTTTTGGACATGGCATTATAAAAGGGGAATGTATATTTCATGTAGCGCTGCTAGCATGCAAGCATACTACATTACAGTTTACCAGTGGGCAAAATTGTTATTCTAAGGCAGCACCCCTGAACTCCTTTCATTGTAGGTTTATTTATTCTCACTGTCTGTTCTAGCATGAAGTCACCCTAACTTGTTTGTGTAATCGAGATATCAGCATATTCTTTCTCCTGACATGGTATCGACAACATTTAGTATCAAGGTCCAAGGGGGTTGCTTTGATCCTAGTGCCAGCTTCCAACTCAAGCAGAATTTGCCAGATTGAGACCCTGCGCTTGGCATGCATAACCCTGAAAAACCCCTGCATACTCCGCTGCTCTTGGGTTACACGGCTCCCCGCTTCCTCCAAACAGGGGGTGTCTCTTTCAGAGTGGGTGGGCTGGCCCTCAGCCGCTCACCTGCTGCGTCCAATAAAAAACTCTCTTGTGTCATGTGTCTTTGGCTTTGGGATAAACAGACAGTTTCCACAAGGCACAAAACTTTACAGTCTTGATTTCCAAGTAAGTCTTTGTTGTGGGTAACTATGAAGAATGCCAAAGAGCTTACACACAGTTTTAATATATTTAAAAGTGTCTAATATATATTATCTCGGTTTCTCTATGAAATATCAGATAAGACTTTGTTTCCAGCATGGAGAAATCTGCAAAACTACCTAAGCAGTTTCAAAGTACAACTCAGCTTGGGATATGCATTTAATAATACACAAAATACTGAATATTTCAAGCCGTTCCAGCTTGTGAAAATCTGTTTTGCTTTTTCTCAGGTCTTTGCGGTTACAAATGCAGAAGTAACAGATTTTCGAGAGGATCTTTTTACACTATTCTGACTGTTTAGCTGAAAACAGAATCTCTCGAAACCTGTTACAAGTTGATTTGCAGAATAAGCGATCTGCCAGCAATATGATACAAACTGATTTATTATCAAGAAAATCTGAGCTCTCTTACAATCAAAATGTTGTCTCTGTAAATTCAAAAACCAGTCTCTCAGCACATATATATATATATATATATATATATATATATATATATATACTGTATATGTTCAG